GTTTATATAATCATATATTAGTTTATAGAAATAGGGCTTGAAGTCTCCCTTTATATAATCCTCTTTATATAATCATTAATAGTTGATAGTATGAGTGCCTAAAGAATATTTCCCTACATATATACCTATAATTATATTTTAGTTCATAATCGGAGGAATGCCTAGAGTGGACACAGAGCAGAGCATGAATTAAGGGAAAACAGTTACACCAGGACAAGAATCCATGGCCCAGGCGGCAGCGTTCAGTATCGTAAAGATACCCGCTGTATGGCAGGCTTGGGGCGAGAGCCACTCCTCCTGATAAGGAGTTGTAGGACCTTGCTCCAGTTCTTGAGGAAGGCTGCCCTCAGACCGGCAATCCACCTTGGTGACTGTGAACTTTATCAGCTCTTGCTACTGTGCTGCTCAAAAAGCATCTTCCCACAGAACCCATTGGAAGCTGCCAGAAGGTGGCGGTAACCCTGACAGCTCTGTCACTGCTGTGTGACTTAAAGCATCCTCCTATAAATCTTCTTAGAAGTAGTTTTCCCATAGATAGAAGTATCGCACTCTGCACCCTCTTCACTGCGCACGGCCCACCTTCAAGCCTCGGTAGCCTAATGGGGGTGGACCCCTTACTGCACACGGCCCTTGCCTTCATGGGAACGGGCCCCTTGCTGTGCACTGTCCACCTCCTAGCCTAGGTGACCTAATGGGGGTGGACCCTGTGTTTTATTGCTCACAACCCTATCACTATCCTTAAAGATGATTTCACTCACTGCCCTGCCCCCAACCTATACACAATAAATACGCTTCTGGACATTCGGGGCCTCGCCTGACTACGCTTACAGATGGCGTGGCCCCCCGAGCCCAGCTGCATTTTCTTTGTACTTCTGTGTCCTGTCTCTTTATTTCGCAAATCCTGTGCCTCAGCATAGCATAAGGCTCACCCCACGACCATGTGGGGCACACAGCCCTACATCTGGCTCCCAACGTGCCCTATAAGCATGGCAGCTCACACCCATAATCCCAGCACTTTGGGAGGCTGATCAGGTCAAGAGATCAAGACCATCCTGGCCACCATGGTGAAACCTTGTCTCTACTAAAAATACAAAACATTAACTGGGCATGGTGGCGCGTGCCTGTAATCCCAGGTACTCAGGAGGCTGAGGCAGGAGAATTGCCTGAACCCAGGAGGCAGAGGCTGCGGTGAGCCGAGATGGCGCCATTGCACTCCAGCCTGGATAACAAGAGTGAAACTCCGTCTCAAAAAAAAAAAAACAAAAAAACAAAAATTAGCTGGGTGTGGTGGCACATGCCTGTTGTCACAGCTACTTGGGAGGCTGAGGCAGAATCCCTTGAACCCAGGAGGCAGAGGTTGCAGTGAGCTGAGATTGTGCCACTGCACTTCAGCCTGGTGACAAAGGTAGACTCCATCTTAAAAAACAAACCGACAATGTATATTTATTTCAAAAAGACCCTCCCTGACCATCTGCCCACCTTGACACAGAAGTTTTGGGGTGCTGGTCCTCCCTTGAAGTGCCCTGCACCCACATGTGCCTGTCAGAGACATCAAGGGCCTGGTGGCCAGACCCGACAGTGCCCTTCCTCAGCTCCCCGGGGCTCCTCTTTGGCTCCTTGGTCAGTCTATTCTCACTTCCCGGAGCAGCACCCCCGGCCAGTCCTCCGGTTTCTTGGTGGGATTCGGCCTCCCTCTGCAGTCACGGATGTTGGCACCCTGCTTGATGGCTCCCCTTGGCCGTCTGAGAGGCCACCCCTAACTCAGCCCACCTGTCTTGTCCATGCGCCAAGCCCCCCTCGGACCACCACCCGACTTGATTTTCACCATCTGGCTTACTCTACACACCTCATTCCATCCACTCGAGATGCCACACGTCAAGAAGCCCTGTTGTTCTCAACTGCTAAGAGAGAGAAATGCTGCAATGAAACCTTGGCACATCCCTCGTCCTGACAGCACAGATGCTAAGATGTGAAATGTGCGTCCCTCAGAACCCAGAGGTGTGGTGTGTGGTCTGTTGCTTTCCTGGGGACAGCAGCAGGTGCAAAGCACACGCTGTGGATGGATGGCATCCCTCACCACTGCCTCCCCACCAGGCCCAGACTTCACACTTCAGCTTTGCCGGGGGGGCCTGGAGGAGGACCCTAGGGGTGGGCAAGACAAACTCCCACCCAATGAGTCACTGACTGGAGCCACAGATAAGTCAGGAGCCGTAGGCCCCAGTGCAGCCATCTGAGTGGGAGGTGGGGGCGAAGCAGCCGACAGCATGAAGGGCAGTCTCTGAGCCCAGCCCCAGCCAGTGCGCTGGGACCTGACGGCACTCAGAAGACCCCATGCTGCCCTGGGCTTTGGTGAGGGTGGGAGGGGCAGCAGGCAGCCTCCCCTGCAGCCAGTCAAGCCACACCTGGCCAAGGTGGTGGGCCCGTTCGTTCCCCAGGCTTCTGTGCCATGGAAGTGCCCCCCACTACATGCCCAGCAAAGCCCAGCAGGGAAGTGGCTGTCCCTGAATGACACAGGCCATGAGGGATACAGTGGCAGGGACAGAGCTAGGGCCAGGCCCCCACACAGGTCGAAGGTGGGTGGGCTAGAGGGGCTCATGCTCAGAGTCCCAGAAGGCAGAGAGAACACACAGGGCAGGCCTCGGGGAGCCATCCAAGCAGGAGGGTCAGAGAGCATCTTTATTGCGGGGAAGGGCCTGGCCCCCAAAGTCCTGACACCAAAGACAGACACAAGACGGGTAGCTGCAGCCAGTGAGTTGTGGAGGACAGGGTCCAGGAACCAGCATCTCAGACTCTACCCCCTCCCTGCAGGCGCTGGTGCCGTGGGCTCAGGCATGCAGGAAGCGGTTGAAAGCGTTGTAGGCCGACTCCAGGTCAAACAGCATCTGACGCACCTGCGAGTCATCCAGCTCGTCTGATGCCGACATGCCGCTCAGGGTCTGCAGCCTGGGGAGCAAAGCACAGGGCATGTGGGGTGGGAGGGCCTCAGGGGCAATGGGGGGCTCTACCTGGCGGGGAGGGCCTCAGGGGTACTACTGCCTGGCAGGGAGGGCCTCAGGGGCAATGGGGGGCTCTGCCTGGCAGGGAGGGCCTCAGGGGCACTGGGGGGCTCTGCCTGGCAGGGAGGGCCTCAGGGGCACTATGGGGGCTCTGCCTGGCAGGGAGGGCCTCAGGGGTACTGCTGCCTGGTGGGGAGGGCCTCAGGGGCACTACGGGGGCTCTGCCTGGCAGGAAGGGCCTCGGGGCACTGGGGGCCTCTGCCTGGTGGGGAGGGCCTCAGGGGCACTGCAGGGGCTCTGCCTGGTAAGGAGGGCCTCTACCTGTCGGGAAGGGACACCTACCACTGGCTGACTGTCTGGCGGCCCTCAAAGTCGGGCGGCAGGTGGCTCATGCGGTGCATGGTCTCCATCAGCTCCCGCAGGTCGGGCTGGATCTGGGACACACACAGCAGCTGGGACCCCCACACCGCTCCATCCCCTCCTGCCTAGACCCGCTGCCGGCCCAATGCCTGCACCTCATCCATGGCGCGGATCTCCAGACGTAGCTTGTCCATGACCGTGATGAAGAGCTGGGGGCGGATGTGCATGTGAGTTCCCATCTCCAGGGGTAGGGGAGGCCTCGCAGCTCACAGGCCCCAACCCCTTCCCAGACGCAACTGTCACTGGAGCCTCCTCACTGCCCAGAGAGCTGTGTGGGAACTGGAGGGTGAGCCCACACACTCTCTCCCGAGGCTGGGATACCCCCAGAATGCACCCTGTGCATGTCCCCACCTCAGGAGTCCAGGCTGCCCAGGAGGCCACCCTGCCTGCTGCCCACCCCTCATTCCTACTTAAAGGGGTTCCCTTCCACCCAGCAAGTCCAGTGCTGCTCAGCTCTGGAGGCCCAGGACCCTATGCTGTGCCCGGCTGCAGTAGCAGCCTCGGCCCTCCTAACCCTGTGGGCCCTGGGGGCTGGCGCACCGAGACCACATCAGCAATGCAACGGTTGAGATTGCCCTTGTCGTCCTTGATGGTGATGGGCCGATCCTCCTTGATCCGCTCCATGGCGAGCGGGCAGTCCAGCTGTCAGTTGCTGATATGAGTGCTGGGGCTCTCAGGATGGCAAGCCCCATGCAGCCAGAGCCCGACGGCCCCCCATACCCATGCTGACAGTCCCCGTCTTGCGGGGCTGGGAGGACCGGGCACTCACTCGGAATTTGCGGCAGAACTCATCAATAGAGCTGATTTCTGAGCCCTGAACCTGCCTGAAGGCAGCTTTGTACTGGACCAGGAGCCGCGAGCAGGCTGCAGTGTACCTAGGGAGAAGTCAGCTGCTTCCCGAGCATGGGACCAGCTCTGCCCAGCTCATCCCATTCCCTCAGCTGGTCCAGAGGCAGAGCAGCTCCCAGAGAGGGCCGGGCAACAGGCAAAGGCAGGCCAAGCAAGGAGGAGGGGCTGCTAGCAGCTTCATGGGGTGAGGTCCTGAGCCCATAGTGGTGCTTGGGGCTCAGCTCCAGGTGGAGGCCCCGGCCCCCCACCCATGCCCACCCTCTAACCACAGCGACCAGCACTGTTATGATGACCCCATCCACAGCTTATGGTCCTGTGTGGTGGCCTGTGAGGGTCTTGTGACCTCGTGGAACAAAGCCCCCCAAAACGTCCTGGGACATCTCCAAGCCTCTCGCCTATCTTGTAAGGTTGTCTGTGCTGGGGGATGAGGGTGGGGGACTGGACTGGATGACACCCCAGGGGCTGCTCCCCTGTTCACCTCCCTCACCACCCCCCTAGAACTTCCCTGGCTGGGAACCAGGGGCACCCTCCTCACGCTGCGTGGGCCCCACAAAAGAGCAAGTCTGATGGATGCTTGCTCTTGCTCTCTACGGAGCACCCAAGCCTGGCAGGGCAGGAACAGGCCTCCAAGAACGTGGGCTCTTACTCGCTGGGGGAGACGCAGTCCTTGATGTAGGCTTTCTCCAGGGCCTGCATAGTTTTCACCACCGCAAACAGCTCTGCCATGTTGTCGTACCTGAGGACACACCTGTCCATCGGGCCAGGCCCCAGGGTGCCAAGCCTAGAGCCCAGAGCAGCAGCCCCTGCCCAGAGGTGCCACTGCGGGAGCTCTGCCCTCCTCTCGCTCCATCCTGGAGTACCTCCAGAACAGCTCCCCATCCTGACTCTGTGTCCTCCCACTCCTTAGAGTGGGATGGGTTGGGGGGAGGCTGCCCTGGGGCAGCCAGACGGGCATCGGTGTGTTGGGGCAACCTGGGTGCCCGCACTTACTTCTCCCGCTCCCGGGCATTCTTGTACAACTTCACTTCCTGCCAGAGAGAGCAGACACTGGGGGCCAGTGCCAACAGGGGCTGTAGGGCCCCAGTGAGGCAACACAGGCATTTGCTGTTGGCCAGTGCCAGCCAGGTGGGCACCCACCACTCACCTCATACAGCTCTGGCTTGTTCCCAGGGGCTGCAAGAGAAGGCAGAAAGCTGGCAAGATTCCCCAAAGAGAATCTGAGGGTAGGCTCCAGCCCCAGCCTCCATTTCAGGTCCCATGCTGGGTCCCAAAGAGCCCAGAGGGAGCTGAAGCACAGGGTCCAACCTCACCCCCATCAGTGTGTGGAGGGACCTGGA